CCGTTATGTGTTACAATTAGCAAATTGCACATTTATGCTCACACATGTGACCAAAGCCCGACTCCCCCATGGCCCCCTTTGCCGCGGCTTTCCAACTGACAATATAAATCAATCATTGGGCATTTGGCTCAAAGCCGGCGTTCTTATTGGAAAGGCAACCTTGAAAGCTGCCGCCAAGAGAGCTTTTGGACTGGGGTCTTAGCCGCCGGATTGTGGCCCACTGGAGATTGGCAAAATAAGCGAAAAGCAAAAGGCAAAAGCTTGCCAGCAAATTGCAAAATATTACTTGCATATATGTGCCTAGACTTTCGCATTATATCTTAACAATAATAAATGGCACATCATTTATAATTTCCGCTCAAAATCAACTACACACTACTTCAAATTCAAATTCAAATTCATATTCGAAATTCAATTATTTTGCATTTCCTGTTGCTGTCGCCTCAATCACTAAAGCCATACAGGAAATCCTTGCCACTTGTTCACAAATTTTAGATGCGTTGTCCAGTTAACACTCTTGTTTGCGTTTTTTGATTTTAGTAATTACTTTTCCAGATTTTATTTCACCTTCGGGCCGTTTATTGTGCAAGATATATAAAATTTATACTGAGTGGCATTAAAATATCACATAAGACTTTCAGTTATTTACAAAAAATCTACAAAACCAACAAGATTAATTTGTGAAAAATGCTTGTGGGTATGAAAACTAATTGGTTAGCGTGCCAAACACGAAATGTAAACATTTTCTTGGGATTATTAAGATTATTGTTATTGGCCTATAGATTTTATTATACTACGCTTAATTAAGGCAATTTCTATTAAAATTTTTGTTGTTTAATAAAGCTTATAATTTAAATGCAAATTCTTTCTTTTTCCAGTTTTTTCCCCATTCCTGTATGAATCTCATCGAAAGGCTGCTAATTCCCGAGGAACTCATTAAGATTCCTGTGTAGTATACAATATAGTAACTCCCCCCGGATCACCACAACAATCACTGCCGAAATACCTGGGCAACAGCAACTATTTAGTGTGATTTGCAATATGTATTTTAATTATGGGCTCGCAAGTGTGCGGCGGGGCACAATGTACCAGAGGACAGCTGGCCAGAAAATCACGGAATCGGAATCCACCTGGACTGGCTAAAAAGTTGGTGGTCGGCCAACCGTCAGCTTTAAAGTCTCTGGCTCTTGTGCGCTCTCATAAAAAAATGCGCGAAATGCAACAATTTAAAAATGCTAAATATGCGCGTATGTGAGGAATGATTACTGTCGGGTCTTGAGAGCCTGAATCTGGGACTGGCACTGGGACTTTGGAGTAGATCGGCATAAAGCAAAAGAACCTAGCGGGGGAATTGAAAAGCCGCAGTTACTCACCAGCCGACTGCGTTTAGTAATTATGCGAGCAACACGTTCAAGGCGGCAGTGGCAACAGCAGCAGCAGCAGCAGCTACAGCTCATTGCAACATGGTGCCATTGTTGTTGCCACTGCTGGTGCTGGTGCTGCTGCCGCTGCAGTTGGTGACTGTTAGCGGGCATTGCGTAAGCTCTCTTGGAAAATTGCATTAGAAAATCCACTTGGCAGCAGCGGCAACAATTAAAGTCGCAGCAGCTTGCACGTTTCGCTTCAAGCCGCCTGGGAACCACAAAAGCCAAAAAATATTGCTGCCCATTGGCCACCAACGTAAAGGCTTTTTTAATGGTCTAAGTCTTTGGTCTTAGTTTTTAAGATTAAGTTCCATAAAGAAAAGGATTTTAATTGAAACCCAAAACGATATTAAATATTTAATAATGCCACCAATAAAGCATACATTTTATTAAATCAAAAAGCTTAAAAAATCCAATCTAGCTTGCAATAACAATTATAAGGCACATTTTTAAATGCCTCTGAAAACAGATTCAAAAATATTTATATTTTTATGAATCATGACCATATGCTTTTCCCCCATCCGTGACTTTCAAACAGTGCCTAATAAAATTGTGCTTACGGCCCGTGATCTCTTCAACTGCAGACCAACCTCTTGGCCGCCATAATGTGCAGAATTTATTAGCATTGCGAATCTTTGGGGCGATGTTAATCGCACTCGTGTCGTAGCTTGGCCATGGTCAACAACGGCTGTCTAGCAACCAAGGAGGGGGGGCGACGAAAGGGGGGTGTGGTAGCCGGGCTACTTGGTAACCCTTTGGGGGCAATGCGACGCCGACACCGTGCCAGCGATCAGCGTGGAAAATTTTTGCTATTTTTCACCAATTAAAAACGGATTCTGTGCAATTTTCCATGCCGTGTGTTGCAAGTTGTTGTTGCGCTTGTAGTTAAGTGAAAAATACCAAATGCCCCAAGGGGCAGAGAAAATGCACGCTATTCACTCTCTTCCGCAGATCTCCTCCATCAAGGGAGACCATATTTCTTATGCGTAGGACTCTATTTGTGTGGCAAGTTTGGCCCAAAAAAACACCACATTTATTTATCACATTTAAAGTGCAATAAAAAGCACTTCCTAGTGCCACAAGGGGCGCGGTGGTGCGGTGGCGAGCATAAATTACGTTTATGCATTTTAGTTATGCATTTGCACAGGCCCTAAGTGTCAAAATAATTCATTATAATTGCCCACAGATCATTTTTGTCAACCGATTTTTTTCCGTTTTGTTTGCTTGGCATGGCGTTGCGTGTGTTTTCCTTTTCTTTTTTTAAGTTTTTTCTTCATTTATTTTTTATTTTAAGTTTCTTATATTTTGTATTTTTTTATTTTGTTTGGCATGTCGTCGCAACGGCAGCAAGTGAATGAGTGAGTGAATAATTGCAGGCATGCCATGTTGTTTATACTAAATTTAATTAATGATGACTTTTATTTATGAATGCGTGGCCTGGCGTCAGGCATTCGGTCACATAAATCGGTTCTGGGCCACTCCTACAAATAAAAAAAAGGAAAAAGAAATAAAATCAAAATTGCCGGAAGGAGGGAGCTGCACTATCTTAATGTTTACCAAGTCGTCGGCTAGTCGTCCAAGGAACAGGATCAGCCACAAGCGATGAATTGATTAGCTACCTTTAGATCTTAATTGAAATCTCACTGCCATTTATCATAATTGCCAGAGTCATAAATTCTAATTAGGGGTTATGGATTCTACCATTCCATGGGTAATCAATTACTAGGCTTACTTATAATTATTTATCTACATATTTACGTAAGTTTTTAGTTATATTAGTACTACTAACTTGACATTTTAAAACATTTTAACACATATGTTTCTTTTTAGACATCCCCACCCATGTAATATTTTCTTTAATTTTCCAGTAATTTGACCATAATTGTTTTTACGACGTTCAGTAATTTTAATTAGTTTTGTGCGGCTCTGTATCTTAGTATCCGTATCTGTATCTATGTCTTGCCCTGGCCCCTGGAGCGTTCCACTTAGCCCCATCATAGCTGGTAGAGGAAAAAAAAAGCGGCGGCAATTGGCTGTGCCCCCATATATGGACCCAAAGACCGCAAAATATTATTGCGCTGAACAAATTTTTAGTTTATTTTGTTGTAGGCCATAAAAATGTTAACATCATTATAAGACTTTAACACCTGCAGGCTGCAGATAACAGCTGGTCCGAGCATTTTTCGCATCTCGCCGAGCATTTATCGCTAATCGAATTGAGTTTGCTGCCACTGCCACTGCCGCAGAGGAACTGTGGCACTATGGCACTGCAACTCGCCATCTCCTCGGCTAGCATCTATAAAATGTTGTCGCTTCCACCAAGTCACTACTTTGCATTTGTGCGCCGCGTTTTCTCACGCTCCTTATTGGATTTGGAAGGCAAGTGCACGCGAGCAGCATGCGGGGGGGCTTTCGCGATCGGTCCAGAGACTGTGGGGACTGTCGATCTTGGAGACCACTGAGCAGTACCATCCAGATGCCGGCTCTTGGCGTGCTCGACCACAGGGCGAATGTTTTGACTTTGCCACCGACGCTGCTTGCAGTCTTAACCCAATGAAGTAGTCATTTTTAAAAATATATCGTATTTTTATAAAAGTTATTATCACTTAAATTTTAATAGTATCCTTTTGCTTACAATAGCAAACCATTAAAGTTATAATTTTAAAGAAAAAAAGACACATTTAAAACTAAAACTAAACTTTTTCAAAACCATCATTAAAAAAAATGCATTTTTTACTAGCAATTAAAAAGTTAATAAACATTTTATGTGCATCCTAACTTCAAAATTGGGAGCCTAAAAAAAATTATTTTTTATCTATTATTCACTTGGAATTCCCCAACTATTTCCACATTTTCGTCACTAGCTTTCTCTTCATTATTTAAACTTTTTCTAAAAATCATAGTATTAAAAAAGACAGAAAATTAATCCAAAAATCGTCAATAAATTATAGGGTTAAGACCGTTGCAATCAATGCAAAGTGAGCGGCGGCCGAGCAACAATGTTGTTGGCTGCCACACAGCTGATGTTGCCGATCCCACTGGCTATATGATTTATGTCCCGGCACTCTGGTGGCGCCGCTTCTTTACCTTCATTTGTTGGCTTAAAATCCACAAAGTGTTGGGTTTATTCCATCTCTTAGATAAATCATGGCAGGCCGTGGAAGGGTCTTAACTTTCGAATTTTGTATACATTTCCATTTAAAACATTATTGCTGTTTCAAAAGAATAATATATATTTTATTTATTTATTAAGAAAAAGAACAAAAAAGGATATCCAACGAAATATCTTTCAAATGATCATCTTCAAGTATCACTTATATCTAAAAAAATTAAACTTTAACTGGATTTTCTTTTAATTTCTAATTAAATTCTGGAGTTTATATTCGAAAAACCCTACTTTACCATCCATATGAAATTTTAGTTCTATGTATCACATAGCTGTTTGCTATAATTTCTATAACTAAGGCATAGATCGTATATCAACTTCTTACTTTCCATTTCATTTCTAACAACTGGGCTTACAACCTTGGTTTTGGATTGTAAACGCATATACCTCGTATTCTTCAAGTTCGTATCAAATTAGAAAATAAAGCATGCTGCATTTTTCTGTTTGCATGTAAAACATTTTTTTAGTTTAAATTCAATAGTCCATAACATTGTATCAACTAGCTTGATATTGATGAGTATTCAAAAATGTAGAAAAGTAAAAATTTTATATAGTTATAAAGAGAGACTGATGCAGCCTCTTGGGAACTAATCCGTTTCTTATCGAGAACAAAGTAATATATTAATCGTACTGCCTGAGCTTCGACTAGTTGGCTTTCATAGCCATTTTGGATATCTAGTTAGTAGGTTTAGTTTTCATTTTTTCCGGCCTGTGCCATGTAATTAGCCACACACGAGGCAATAAACTGATACTGCGTTGCAAATGTATTCTGCCACAATTCTATGATCTTTCCATTCTCCTCCGAATCATCATCCGAATCTTGCTCCATCGCCTGCTCTCCCTCAGAGCTGGTTCCAGCCAGGCTAACATTGCTAACATTGGGCACTTCCATTATCTCATTTTCGTCCTTATCGTCATCCAAAGTTTCACCCTCGTCCTCCTCTTCTTCGAATTCAAACTCTTCAGCTGTCAGTTCCAGATCGTAGTAAGGGTCGTAGTCATCTTCATCTTCATCGTCTTCATAATCGCTCTCATCGTTAACGGTAGTGTCGCTGGCATCGTACTCGGAGGTATCTATGCCGGATGAGCCACTATCGTTGCTCTCCACAAAGCCACTTGATGAATTATGATCGTCACTCGCGCTCAAGTCATCCAAACTGGACTCATTGTCTCCAGCTTGGCTGGATGCAGTGCCGTCTGAATCAGATTCCACCACAAGTGGCTGGATGGGGGCAATGTTCATGTTATGGGTCACATGGATACTAAGTTTGACAGGAGGTTCGCCTTCCCCATCTGGATTTTGGGACGAGTTTGCAGTCTCGACCTCCGGCAAAATAGCATCTACTGTTTCATTCTCTTCTTTCTTCGCTTTTAGTTTCAAGGACGGTTTGTCAGTTCCATTGTCGTTCTTCTCCTGGGCTTCCACTTCCAACGAGGATTTATCAGTCTGGTTAGGAGCAATGTCCATGTTGTTGGTCACATGGATACTAAGTTTGACAGGAGGTTCGCCTTCCCCATCTGGACCTTGGGACGAGTTTGCAGTCTCGACTTTCGGCAAAATAGCATCTACTGTTTCATTCTTTTCCTGCTGGCCTACGAGTTCCACGGACGGGTTGTCAGTTCCATTGCCGTCCTTCTTCTGGGCTTCCAGTTCCAAGGACAATTTATCAGTCTGGTTAGGAGCAATGTCTATGTTGTTGGTCACATGGATGCTCAGTTTGACAAGAGGTTCGCCGGCCACATCTGGATCTTGTGACGATTCTTCTCCCTCTACCTCCGGCGCAACAGTCTCTACATTTTCATTGTTTTCCTGCGGGCCTTCCTGTTCCACGGATGGGTTGTCAGTCTCCGCTTCCTGTCGTCCTCTCACTTCATCAGTCTGGCCCTCGGATGCAGTATAGTCGAGTGTAAGGGACGGTTTCTCAGTCTCCGAATCCTGCCAAACAATGATTATTTCATCCAACTCTTTCTCCTGAGCTTGAATTTCCGAGGAGGATTTATTAGTCGGCATCTCCGGCAAAGGAACTTTCTCTTTTGTATCGTTTTCCGGCTGAACTTCAGGCTTGTAGAAACTGGATTTCTCCAACTTTGGATCGTAAAGTTCAACAAGAGAGTCGTACAGAGTTCCCATTAGTCTCTGCACCGCTGCACCCCCTAAATTTTGATCCGCTATATTCTTGTCCAGTCTTTCAATAATGCGCTTTCGATTTTGGAATTTCGTGAGCATAATGAAGTAGTTGGACTCCGGATAAGGGGAGTACATTCCATAAATCTGTAAAGCGAAACGAAATGTATATAATAGTTAATGTAAAGATCCTATAACCAGGACGAACTTACCTTTTTCTTGTAAATTATCTTGGTACGCTTAGCCCCATTGGAGGATCTCTTTATCCAATGGTAGAGCAAAGGACGGCGAATGGAAATGCGGCAAGTATGCTTCTTCACCTTCATCTTATACCGCTTCCAAATCTCCTTCTCATCGCTGATGGTGAAGATGCTTTCGTACGAATAGGTCTTCTGGCTGGCGGATAGCCCACTTTCCAAGCTATCGGAGCTGATGCTGCTGGCGTCGTCCACAGTGTTCGAAATGGCCAACGGCTGGAGCGTAGTCGAGGAGCTAAAATTATACGGAGCCACCAAGCAATAGGTCTTGGTGTTGATCGAATTGGCTGGCGGCGCCGGTGGTGTCGTTGTGGTTGGTGACGGCTCCTGCGATATCTCAAGGGGAGTCAACGATGGTGTCAACTCGGGTGAAAATAATTCATCAGGGTTTGGAGAGTTCTTTTCTGGAGCAGACATTTTTTCAACTTCCTCCTGATTTTTAGATGACTCGATACTGTTTGAAGTTCCAGGATCTGCTGTGATGATCAACTTTGGATTTTCCACATCTGGTGATAGCTTGAAGTCTTCCCCAGTGGAAACTCCTTTGTCTTCGAGCTGGGGAGGTTCCTCAGTGGACTTAGTTGGGGCACTACCTAGAATCTTCTCATGAACTGTAGACTGAAGCTCAGCCATTTCTTTTTCGAGGTTTGCTATTTTAAACAAAGCATTTTCGAGGCTCTCAGTGCTGCCCTGCATGGGATCAGTTTTCTTCAGGAGCAACTCCAGTTTTTCATCTTCATTGGAAGTCTCCACCTTGGAAATGTCATCTTTTGGCTCACTGGCCGTATTCAAATCAGTATTCGGAGCATTGCTACCGTTTTCTACAACCTCAACACTAGATTCTTTCATTATTTCCTGCTGGGGATCACCCATAGCTGCCTCCATGGCTTCTAGTTTAACAAAATCCTTATCTATGCTTTCATTACTATCCATAATCTTGTTATTTATAGCTTCTGCATCCTTCTCTGCAACTTTGTCACTCTTTTCAGCGACTTTTGGACCTTTCACTGGCATTTCGGCAAGGGGAGAACTCTCGGTCTTGACGTAGTAAGGGAAGTTGTATTTGTCGAAATCCCAAAAGCTGAAGTTCTCGGACTCGGTTAGATCTTTGGGGAACTCCAGTACCGACATTCCCGTTGTGCAGGCGGATAGAATCTTATGGAATTTCTCGGTTTCCTTGGGCGTGACAAAGGTTATGGCTATGCCCTGGGAGCCAAAGCGACCGGCTCTTCCGATGCGATGCAGATAGGTTACATGATCCTTGGGCGGATCGAGATTTATGACCAGATTGGCATGCTTGGAGTCTACGCCGCGAGCCATCACGTCAGTGGCCACTATGATGCGCGTAGTGAAAGACGTGTAGCTCTTGAAAACATTCAAGCGATCGGCCTGATCCATGGCACCGGTGAGGAGGCTGCACTGGATGCCACTGGCCTCGAGGTAGTTGCGATACGAGTCGGCTCGCATTTTGCTGCTGGCGAAGAGAATAGCCTGCTCGTAGGGCAACTGAGCGAATATTTTCAAAAGGGCATCGAGCTTGGAGCGCATCTCCTCGAGGCTGTTGATCTTCTGGGGCAGATCATAGACGAACTGCCGTATTCCCAAGAGGACAGTGGCGCGCTCACTGTTTGAAATCAATAGGGGCTGCTTCATGGTTTTGGCCAGACGCTCGTCGAGGTTATTCTCGTAGGTGGCGCTACAGGCTACAACCTGGCGTTTCTCGGGCAGCGCACTGATTAGCTCATGGACCGTGTCCTGCATGCCCTTAGTCTCAAACAGTTGATCCGCCTCGTCTAGCACCAAAAGCCGTATCTTGGACATGTCGAAGACACGATTGCGGTAGAGATGCAGCAAGCGTCCCGGAGTTCCGATAATCACGTTGCTTTCGCTCATCCGTTTGCGATCTTTGGCAACATCTGTGCCGCCAATAAAGGCATGGGCCCGGCAGCTGCTCATAAAGAACGATAGGTAAAAGAAGGTGTCCATCACCTGTATGGCCAGTTCCCGCGTGGGCACCACAATCAATGCATGCGGCCAGCGCAATGTCGACTTGTAACTATTCATGGCACCCAGGACATAGATCAGAGTTTTCCCAGTGCCGCTCTTCGACTGAATCAGCAGATCTAAGGTGGCCAGCGTTTAAGGTGCAATCTTAAGGATGTCTTCATTCAGTACTTACCATTGTCGGCGAGAACGAGCGGAATTGCCGCCGCCTGAATGCGAGTCGGCGTCGTAAATTTATTGCGCATTAGACCGCGCAGAACGTCGCGCTTCAGGTTTAGCTGCGAGAAGGATAGAACCCGGCCTGGCTCCACATCGCTGGTGCGCTTGCCGCCGTTTTCCAAGTTGTGCGCTAAGGAGCGCTGCATTTTGTCAAAGATTTACACGTTTATGCACTTTAGAAGACTTCGGTTTTCTGCTGCCGGTTTCTTAAAGTTTGGTAGTGCTGTAAGGTGGTTGAATATATCAATATATCGATATACTTTGTGAAGCCAAACAGTGTTGCCAATTAATATTAATCTAATGCGGGAAACTTTAAAAAGTAGCGACAAAGGTGTGCTATAAAAAGTAATTATGAAAAGGATGTATTTTTATCTTTTTTAAAAGGACTTTCTTGATTTATTTTAAGTTTTCCTGTTTTAATTTTCTTCATGAATGGAGTGGCCAATCGTTCGAAAAACCAGTTCCCAACACTGTTAACCTGCATAGAGGCTCTCAAACTGTAAGATATGGCGCGCTTTTTAAATCCAAAATAAATTAAGTCCAACGAATTGTTGGAAACCATAGTAGTGGAAATACAAATTTTTGTTAAAAACTCTTCCCAGCGTAGCAACAGTTTTTTCACCTTTCAGTCTTCGTCCACTTTCGTTAAGCCGACAATGTCAGACAGCAGTTTTCCGTAGGTCAGAACCGGTATTAACTTTAAAATTTAAATTTCCAATTGGCTGCTTTTTTTTGCTCCTCAAAATTAACCATGTTGAAGATTAAGCCTAGAGATTTGGGGTCCTTTGTGGCATTGACTGCCCTGCACGTGTGCTCCGTCCTGCAGCCCGTGGTGGAGGCCCAGGCGAACGTCAAGACAGTCTACCCAGTGGTGGATCGAAGACTGATGCTCCAAGTGGGCTACCAGTACAGCCACTGGATGCTGGTCAAATCCATGATGTACTCCCTTCTGGTGGTGTTCGGGCTCTGGTACAGTCGCCATCTGCAGCAAGCAAAGAGGCTGGAAACGGAGGAGAAACGAGGCATCCTGAAGGATGCACAGCAGCTAACCGCCGACGATGTGAAAGAGCAATGGCTGAGCAGAAAGCAACAGGATGCCTTTCCGACGAGCAAGTTCCTCTTCTTCGCTGCACCCTGGCTACTCAGTTTCCTGGGCAGCGGGCTGATCAACTACGTCCGACTTTATATGGTCATCCAGCACTTTTGCGTCTCCAACTGGCGGGCTATCCAGATATATGGGGAGCTTCAAGTGCTCTTCCTGCGCCGCCTGCTGGCCGCGACTCTGATTCCCTACTGGTCGCAATTCGTCGGAGGAGACTCCCTTGAAAATTCGGCCACCTCCATGCCCGCCAACTATATCAGCTACGAGACCCATCTCCTGGACTGAACCCAATCGGATGAATGTTTTATGGCTGCAAGAAATAAAGTTGGTTACATGGTGTACAATTTAGATTAAGAAGCATTACATTTAAAATTAATTATGTAAAATAAATTAAATTTAATTTTATAAATAAAAAGTTTAAAAAAAGTGAATCTTTTAATGAAGGAGGGGCATTTCAAAATTGAGAAGCAAAGTCCTCTTCTAAAGAGTTATTTTCATAGAAACTACTACCATAAATTTTTATTTATTGTTTATCTATATTTGAGTTTTTAATTTATAACAATTTTTAAAAATATTGTTAAATAAACTATAGTAACTTTACCATCCTTAGCTGTCGTTTTCTGATTTCCTATCCTTTAATTTTCTAGCGGCAATAAATGGTATTTCCCATCAACAAAAGAAATGTAAACTTTTCCCTGAACTTTCTCGTCACTCTCGGGAGTTTGTTGTTGGGAAAACTTTTCCTTCACGTGGGAAATATGCGGCAATCACGTTTTCTTGCTCACTTCTGCCAACGTGCCATAAAACAGAGAATAAAACAATATAAATAAAAATCGCGAATAAGCGAATATCAAGTGACCGAAGTTTATTAAGTTCAGGGTCTCTATTATGGTTTTGGGAAGTGCGGTTTCCATGAAAATGGGCAAAAGTTTTCTTTGGCCATTAGGGATTAGGTTTTTGAGGACGATCTGCCAGCCCCTGACAGATCAGTCACTTGAATTTCAGTTCAGTTCAAAAAAGAGAACTCTCCAAACATATTTCTAAATTTAACCCAACAAAACTTTCAGTAAATTGCAATTGGCCGAAACATTAATCACGTATCGGTTATTCAAAATATCAAAGTTTCCAGGTCTTCGTAGTGTCATTGGCAGGATCTATCCAGGAATACAAAGGATTTTCGGCAGCTGGAAGACCTTGGAACACACAAACTTTAGGACTCGTTTATTTTGTTTTTCATTGGCAACGTACACGGCTCTTAGTTGTTACTCGAGCCCCCTTTCGGTCCACTGTTTCGATTTTATGGTAAGAAAAACATAAAAGACAATCCCAAAAAAACCCAATCCAGCTCTCGACAAAAGCCAATAGATTGTGGGTGGCTCAAGGTGATTTAAGGTGGCTTCAGGACTTATGCCTGAGGACCTCTTGAGACTTGGGTAGAACGATTTATCGAGTCCTTGTCATTTAAGAGCTCCAAAGAGGAGGTTTAATATAGGGTTTCAGTATGTTTTTGTACCAGTATTAAGAAGTATCTTATCCGACTTTTTAACTATAAAAACTATTTTATAATAGTTCAAGAAATCTTAACCATATTTTCCATTATTAAGCTAGACCACTACAATTGGTATTAAAATACAGTAATGTAAAATAAAGTAGGCTATATGTATATGGTAATCCATCTAAAATTAGAAATAAAACCAGTAGCAAGCTCTCTTCAGTTAGGCCCATTATCTGACCACCATAAGCTATCAATATTACCCATTAAAATCATTTAAGCCATCTATTTCCTAAAGTATATTCAAGACCCCATTCTATTGGTTTTTGTGGCAAACTAACCCATTCGTAAAAACATTTTTGAAGCCATCTAGTAACCGGGAAAAAATATGTTAAATATGGTTTGTTCTCGTCCAGTTTTTTTTCAGTCTTTCGGAAAACCCCATAAGGAAAGCACAGTCCGTTTTTATTTTAATATTTTTTTTCAACACATTTTTTGTTGGTGAATTTTGTGAATTTTTATTTGGGAAAACTCAAAATCGTATATAGTCTCTGAGATTCATTTTAACCGACGCGTAATCGCCGAGATCTAAATCATTCAGCGTGGTGCTTTGATATCAAGTGGCAGCGTAAGTTGTTGAATCGTCATTAGGAATCATTGCAAGTATTTTAAGGAGCATAATGCGTGGACAACTGATGCGACGTGGCCCCGCCTTGGCAAAGCAACTGATCCTTTCGCCCGCGTCCTTCCGCATCGAGCAGGTCCGTTTTGCGACTGCCGGTTGCGGGGCAGGCGATGTCAAGGGGGGCAAGGGCCTCGTACTCGGTCTTTACGAGAAGGAGTCGGGCAAGGGTCCGCGCCTCACGCCCGCCGGAGAAAAGTTCGACGACCGGGTCCAGGGCAAGCTGTCGGAGCTGGTGTGCGAGACGAAGCTGACGGGGCGACTCGGTCGCGGCAAGGTCTTCAACAACATAGACCCCGACTTTCGGTCCATATGCGTGGTGGGCGTGGGCCTGGAGGGCATTGCCTTCAACGAACTCGAGATGCTCGACGAGGGCATGGAGAATGTCCGAGTGGCAGCGGGGATCGGTGCCAGATCCCTGCAAACCATCGGCTGCAACGAGGTCCATATAGACAACATGGACTATGCAGAGCAGGCGGCGGAGGGCGCGGCCTTGGCGATATGGCGCTACGAAGAGAACCTGGCCAAGAAGTACCGCAGCACCATACCCAAGCTGGAGCTCTACGGTTCGCCAGACGTCGAGTCGTGGACGAGGGGTCTGTTCAAGGCCGAGGCCCAGAACTTGGCGCGGCGCATCTGCGACGCCCCAGCCAACTGCATGACCCCCACCATCGTAGCCCAGACCGCTGTGGACGCTCTGTGCCCCTGCGGCATCACTGTCGAGGTGCGCACCATGGAGTGGATAGAACAGCAGCACCTCAACTCCTTCCTTATGATTGCCAAGGGCAGCTGCGAGCCGCCCGTTCTCCTGGAGGTGGCCTATTGCGGCACCTCACCCGAGGACAAGCCCATTCTGCTGGTCGGCCAGGGCATAACGTTCAATTCCGGAGGCATCAACCTGCGCGCTTGCAAGGGCATGGACGAGTTCCGTGGTGACCTTACCGGAGCAGCTTCAATCCTGGCCGCGATGCGGGCAGCAGCTGCCCTCTCTCTGCCAATCAATATCACAGCCGTGATACCGTTGTGCGAGAACCTGCCCTCCGGCATGTCCTGCAAGCCGGGTGATGTGGTCACCCTGCTGAACAGTAAGTCTCTAGCCGTCCGTAACATCAGCCGCACCGGTGTCGTGGTCATATCCGATCCCATGCTCTATGGCCAGATTACGTACAAGCCCCGGTTGGTGGTGGACATTGGGTCCATGTGCACGGGCGTCAAGAAGGCCGTCGGCGGTGGCGCCACCGGCATCTGGTCGAATTCGCACTACATTTGGAAGCAGTTCCAGCGGGCTGGATCCCTGACCGGGGACCGGCTCTGGCGATTCCCCCTGTGGCGCTACTACAAGGACCGTGTGGCCGAGAACCTGAGCTTCGATCTGTTGAATGATGGAGATGGTCATGCCTCATCCTGCCTGGCGGCTGCCGTCCTCCACGAACTGGTACCCTGCAGCGATTGGGCCCATTTGGACACCTACGGCACCGGCTTGCTGAGCACCTATGGACTGGTGCCCTATTTAACAGCCGGACGGATGACTGGGAGACCTACCAGAACAATAGTGCAATTCCTTTACCAGATGGCATGTCCGGAGCAGCCTAAATAGTTACGGATAAGCCCGCTTTTCTATATACATATACGATTACGTTTTTGTTGGCTATTTTACCTCGCTCTTGGCCCCGGATCTCAAATGTTTGGCTTCAATGTTGTACGTATATGTCTATATCCAGGACCAGTCGCAACAGCGATCGTAGTTTTAGCGAATTGACTGCAAGCCCTGCACTAGGGCAATCAAATCGTGTTCAATGTTTTAGTTTATGTTACTGACTCGGCCACAACCTGGGGCCAAGAGGTCCGATAAGCGAGTGTATAAATGCCATAATCCATAAAAAAATATTTCCAAATTCACCTCGATAAATCATTGTAAATGTATCTTGAAATATTAAATTCGGTCCTGATGTAATGTAATAAAATTGTAGGATAGTTAAATGATGTGTTTTTAATTTTCTCTAAGAGGGTCCTCCAGCTTCTAAGCCAAATCGATTGCCTTTATCCATCCTCTGCCGGACTGACATTAACTGCAATTCGGGGCAGCTATTAGCCACAGATTCAAGCAATTTTATGCGTTTTTGGGTCCAAAGAGCACGTAGGACCTTCCGCAGTTCGGCAGGTCCTTGGAGTGCAGCCTCGATGGCCTCCGTCAAAGTCGGACAAACACAAAGGAGTGACGCCAGCAAACTTCCCCCTCCGCCGCCCACTCACTCTGGCAACTAATTCGACTTTTGGCATATCAATGAGGAACGAGACCAAGTCGGAGCCGAGAGTGACAGGATATCCCAGAGTTTGTGGCAAAGTTTTTAGCACGTTATTGATGCTCGGCTCAGCCCGGGGTAAATTTCAAACTTTTGCCGGCACAAAGGACGTGCAAGGACAATTGAAAGGCTGCACCGCCTCCTTCTCCAGCACTAGCCCGTCATTGCACTCTATTTGTCGACTAATTCAATTGGTCGATGTAAAAGTGCTTTAGATTAATAACACTCGGCCATGATGAGCTTGCCAAAACCGAGCACTGGCATCTCCTCTTTCCCATTTTAAACAATTCATCAGAAAATGGCCTGCAAATGACACCACATCGTTTATCATTTTCGTTTCGATTGAGGCTCCGAATTTAAAACTTTTTTGTCATAAACTGCTAATTGTGTCGCCTGTTAATGAGTGAATGGACGAGCTAATCTGTCACTGTCAATAGATATTTTTAAAATTTGGGGTAAGAGGGATTTGGGGCTTTTGGTCGAGCTATATCTTTTAAAAAATAAAAATAAATCCGATCATTCAGTGTCCATGCATTCTCCATCACAGTCTCTTTGTACATTTTTATATATTGCATGGATTGTTTGGGTATGATAACTTTCCAGAAGCATCTTTAATTTTAAGAAATATTAAAAAAAAAAAAATTAATTTAAAAATAACGCCCTCCTCCTCGATTCTCATAGGTTGCACCTAAGCAGGCCCAAAAAAACGTATTCATTTTTCGTCAATTTTTTGCAATATACATATGTATATCAATATCACCATCCGATATTATATTAAAACATAAATTGCCACTGAACTGCAAGGCTATATAAACTTTGTTTGTTCTTGTAACTAATTGATTATTTCCTCCTAAAATAAACCAATTAGTCTTTCGTTTTGAAACTTTAATATAATTAATATTTTAGAATCTGCAGTGCAACTCATTCCTTGTCCTGTCAACTTTGGTAATGATAAAGTGTTTCATTATGAGAATGCCACCTCGCTTGTATGGAAATCGTGCAAAACTGCTGACAGCAAAGTGCCCCACAAAAAAGTGGCAAAGGGGGCCGGAAAATGAGGAAAATATGGAAAATGAGGTGGCTTACGGTTCAGCATGGAGTGGGAGTGGGTGTGAGAGTGGGTGGTGCCGACAACCTGTTCTGTGTGAGAGGTGTAAAAACTTTTATGGCTTAATTCTGCACACTGTACTCTCCGTCGGTTTTTTGGCAGTGTTGTCAGCAAGTTGGTTGCCTGCCAAGAGACCTGCCACTCTTTGCAGCACGCTCTTCCTGGCTTGAAACTATTAAAGTGTCACTTGGTTAAATATAGTTGCCGCACTTATGTTGGATTAATTCCCGGCCAGTCATAAATAATAATACTTCATAAAGGTCAACTGGGGCTTATTCCTTTAAACTTAAATAGCATTTCATAACGAGAATATATTAATTTTCAGAAAATTAAATTCCAACTCGGCCCGACCTCTGACTGTCATTTGTCCGGCTCTTTGATTTGATCTCAGGGCTATCTCCATCCCAAACCAATATGAATTCCTTCCTCTGCGCCTCCACCTGCTTCTGGGTATTGTTATTTATGACGGGCATTGGCAGGAAACGGATATGCGTGCTTGGACGTCAACGTGTCATAGCCAGCCGAGTATGTGGATGTGGCTGTTGCGCTGTGGGTGTGGTTATGGGGTGTGTCCACGATGCATTGGCATTCGGCCAAGCGAGTTGGCCAGCAGACAAATCGTTTCGACCATGTCTACAGCAATGTCCAGGTCCAGTCCCAGATCCAGTCTCAGTCCCAGAACCATTCCAATTCCCATTCCCATTCCCTAAACACATTTCCACATTTAACAAGGAAACAACCCAATCGAACCACCCACAATTTGATGGATGCAGTTCGCCTGTTGTGATAGGTGACTGTCGGAAAGGTCAGGATGGGAAGGGCGATGCTGTCGATAAGGTCAAAGGTTGAAGTGGCATAAAAATGGTTGGGGCAATGTAATATCACATGTGTTGCGCAAATGGAAAGTAAAATGGTCTTGTATAAATAAGCTTAAAGGTTAATTGATTATGGGATTATTTTGAGTTTTAAAAGTTCAAAGAGCAGATGAACTGATTTTTTAATGAATACTCTATCCAACTAAATCTACTGTATCACAACATCTAGTGCACATTAAAGCCATTTCCTTGGCCACATCTGCGGCCAAGTCAGTACAAAGTATAAACAGCCATAACACAAGTCCATTTAAAGACCATATTAAGCACACCGGCTGTAAGTACGTGTTTCGTGTGGTCGCCCTTGTTTGTTTTTGGGGCCTGGGGATGCTGCACTATGCGTAATGCCCATAAATGTTGTGGTCAATGCAGCCAACACCCTGACCTCTGGTCAGCTTCCTGTTCAACGCCCCCCTAAGCACCGAACTCCCTCCGCTTGGCATCCAAACCGCAAAATGACCGAGCGACGGAATGAAGTCGCTTTTAATTAATGCCGCAGCATATTTGGGGAGCATACATTTTTGCTTACCCCGAAAAATAGAAACGTTTTGAATAGCAGCCGTGAAATTAAATTTCCCTCTCATTTTCCATTCAGTTGTGAATGCAGTTTTGGGGACTATTTGTGGGTGGTCTGCTTTAAATGAAATTTTCTCCTCAAATCAGTCCTTGAAAGTGTTGGGCAAAATTTAGTTTTTTTGTCCAAATGTTTTGACTGTGCTTTTAATTTTAATTGCTCTTGATCCTGTTGTTTGTGTTTAATTAAATTCATTTAAATTCGGTGAAGTCTGGGAAAAATGTTAGGTAACCACAAACAGGAATACAAACAATTAGGGACTGATTTTAATTAAAAATAGATTCAGAAATGTAATTTACAAAATGAAGGTTTAAATGACAGAAAATACCCTAAATAGGGACTTAAACATTAAAATAATTTTCTGAATTTTTGAACAAGCAATTGACATTTGTAGAATAATGCAATCTCCTCCTTATTTCCTGCCTCAACACACGAAAATCCCGTCAATTTCAAGCAATTCGTAGCATATTGCCATTCATAGCATACTTTTCAGCGCGCAGTTGGTCTGTAGGAAAAAAAGGATAGACAGCCGCACACGCATACCTGTCACAGCAAATCCACTTAAAATGACTGCCAACTGTCAAAGTGTCACCTGTTCGAGCCCCGAGGCGGCCAAAAACGGCGTCTACCTCCGAACCAGGGAAAGCTCCGAAAATGGAGCAACAATCGTGAAAATGGCAGTGCTAGAACCCAATTGTCACTTTTCTTTCATTTCTTTTTTTTTCGCTGGCTTCTTCAAAAACTTTTTTCTCTTCTACTATTGCTTTTGTGCTGGCTTTTTCGCGCACAATTGAAAATTTATAAAAAGAGGATGTTGTGTTTTCCGGCGGAAAAAACTTGGCTACCGTCATGCCAGGGAAACTTAAAAAATCTGAAAAAGAAGGAAGCGAAAGCGGAATGATTCGCATTCACCGGAAACGGGCCAAACTTGATTCAATTCACAGACGTAAATGAAAAACAGAACGACGGCGACGATGGTCAAAAGTCAAGGCAACACAACTCTGAAGTGTTTTTAATCAAAGACCAGAAACTAAAGAAGTCAGTTGAAGTGCATTTGGGCCAAGGTTAAAATAAGGTTGAAAAGAAAATTATACAACTATGAAAACCTCCCAACTCATTAAAGCAAAATCACAATAAATTCTAAATAAAAGCAGAATTGCATGACATCTGCATAATAGATTGCAAAATATTTAATTCATATGTTCGCGGCTTACATAAAGGCTTTAAAGCTTGACATTTTCCACGCTTTTATTATGGCTCCCCATATGAATTAAAATTATATGCATTTTCGCACAAAAACATTTCCCCCTCCACTCTACAAAAATTTGGTCTGCTTATCGGAAATGTGGGGAAATCTGCTGAAATTGAATTTTCAATTATGTGAAATGGATTATGTAATTCTATGCCACAAACTGATTGTATTTAGCAATGTATATTAATGGTGCTCGATGTTGTTTTCAGATGCATTTGATTTATTGGACAGGCAACTTGCCAATATACATTTGTTTGTATTTTTTTGTGTCGGCTGATTTTATGAAAAATAATTTTGTTTATATGAAAATTGATATTTTGACAAACCGAATTGGATAATGGCACCGAAATTTGTCAGTTCGTGACATAATGGAGTTTGATTATAAATTTTATGAGGCAGCCGTTCCATTTCCTTGATAAAATAAACAAACAAAAAAACGGAAAAAGAAAAATATTACCGCTTGGAAGTGTTTTTTGTGTAACACAAAGCTTAACACAATGATAAGCTCGTTTCGTTATCCGGCGGAAAACCCAAATCAAATGCACCGACAACTTGATCTCATTCACCCGGGAAAAATCCAAAAGGAAAATATCCCCCAAAGAAAACAAGTCCAAAAAAACAACAAGCACACACATGGGCTATCAAAATATCCTTGGCTCAAAGTCCTTTGGCAATCCAATTGAATTATGTTGCCAAGCATTCTGAGCCGGTCCCAGACCTGTCAGCCAATTGATCCAGGTAAGAGCGAAGGCCAAAATGCTCA